TCACTTCCAGAGCAGCGAGTCCTGCTCCGCTCCCAGGAATAAAGCCACTTCCTAAAGGAGTTTGCCGTGCTTGCGCTTCGTGCGCTCGTTGAAATCAAAAAACCCCACCAACCCCTTCCATGTGCCCGCAGGAGTGGAATAAACCTATTTCCAGCGGACCCCAGAGGAGGCCCTGGCTCCTCGCCCTCCTGTTCCCCGTAGGAAATTCTCAGGAACGTGGAACTGAGTTTGCACATGTGTTGGGGGGGGTGGTTTAAACGAGCAGTGGTTTATTTTTATGACTGAGTAGTTGGGGAGCTGTGCTGGGAATTCCACCATCAAAGCCCAGCCGGAGCAACAAAGGCCGGGTTATTTTAATTTAAGAGGGTTACAGCCTTTGAAGCTCCATAGAATGCAGCCGGTGGCTTCCTCCCCTGCAGCACGTGCCCTGTGTGCTCTGGTGCAGCTGGGGGGTCCGCAGCCCCCGGCCCTGCCGGCAGTTAGCCCTGGGCACCTGGTGAGTGCGTGGGCATCAAACGGGGTGCGAGTCAGTGCTCCCCGGCACAAAACGCCAACTTGGCTGCGCTAAAGAAACGTCCTGAAGAAGAGACTCGTCTTTTAGACGCTCTGAGCAGCCCGCAGCTCTCCCCACCTTCCCGAGGCACGGGTGCGGGGAGACACCGAGAACAGAGCCCACCCTTGTTCGAGGGTTCAGGAGAGCAGCCGTGGGCATCCGACTTGTACATTTTGGCTTTAAGCCCCGGGCTCGCAAATATTTTAATCGGCAGAATCCAGCAAAATCGCGTATCGATGCGGGCACGTGGAGCTCTGCAGAACTGGGGCTGTTGGTGTATGTCAGTCTGAGACCCAGTAAAGAAACGACGTTTTCAGCCTCAACAGGTGTATCCCAAAGGCCTTCGCAGGCGGCGTGCGCCCTGCTGCCTCGGCACTTCGGCTCCTCTTCCGCGTCGCAGCTTCTCCTCCTGTTGCTCAGTCCAGGAGCGCTTGGCAGTCCCGGGGCATGAGCCAGGTAACTCTGTCGGGAGGGGGGCTGCTTGCCCCTCACGGAGAACTGCTTGGCTTGGGGGCAACTTTTGCAGGAAGCTATTCCCAGCATCACAGTAAAAATTATATGGAAGCTGTATTCAGTTTTCTGATGCAAACCCCGCAGCTTTTGTGTGGGAGTGGAAAGAATGGTTGTATTTAATGACCTGCTGAGTTTCCCATTTGTTTTATTGAACAAGAATTGGGGGGAGGGAGAAGCTCTGCTCAGCAAAAGCCCCGCGCCTGCGCGGCACGGGCAGAAACTTGCGTCTGTTCTGGCTCGGAATGCTGCAGACGGTTGTGACCGGGGGGGCTGACCCACGCGGCGTCCCTGGAGCACGAGGGTCTGCACTGGCGGAGGTGCCGGCCGGGCTGTTTAGGGGGGTCGCGGTGGTTACATCCTGCTGTAGGGTTTGGTGCGGGGTGGGGAGCGGGGCTGGGGTCACCCCGTTTAGCCAGCTGGACCGGCGGCACCACGTGTCCTCACCGCAGCTCGCGGCAGGGGTGTTAATCTGCCAGGGAGCCGTGTGGGTCAGAGGCGGTGGAACTCACAGCGCCCGCGTCGAACTTGCTGCTTCAGCTCAGAGGGGAGGTTTTGCAGTTTGCATGAAAAACACTTTGCTGGCAAAATGAACCACCTCGCTGAGCATCCTTCTTGTGGGGAGAAGAGTCCAGAAGGTCAGCCCTTGTCTGTAGGTCCCTCCACAGACGTCTCGTGATCCCTTTTGTCTCATTTTTCAACTAAATACCTGGCTCCAGTGCGCTGCCTTCAGGGTTCCGGTGTCAGGTACAAAACAGGTAGACGAGGTGCTGAAATGGGTTGGTTCGGTTTGGGTTTGATGCTCGGTTGAGCCTTCATTTCGTGTTGGTTGAAGCCAGATTTGATCCATTCCCCTTGAACTAAAAATACAGCGGCCTGTGTCAGGCGGAGGGGTTTGCACTAATCAAAACCATCGCTCAGCCAAGGCGCCCGCCGTGCCGACGAGCTCTCGTGGGGAGGAGCGGGAGGGGAGGGGGCTGGCCAGGGCTGGGAGGACCCGCGTTGCCTCGCTGAGACCCGCTGCTCAAGGGC